ATGCAAAGGCAGTCAGGGGGTTCCGAACCTTCAATTCCAGCAATGCCGTGTGGACTGATCCGCGCTCGCAGGTCAAGTTCCACATCGAGGCTCGACAGGACCTTCCGGAGGATGTTCGAGTTCGTCAGCGCGCTCCCTCGAAGTATTACGACCCGATCAGGCAGCACCTGATTTCCCAAAATATCTGGACGCAGGATATGAGAATGTCTGGTCATGGGTTCAGAAACGAGTTTTGGGTCATCGAGCAAGAGGAAGTCTATCCAGTCTTGAAGGCAGAGACTGGCTCCCTCGGGCGCTTCATCGTCACGCCGAACCCGTCCGAGATCCAGGCCCTGAGTATGGACGCCAACGTCATCACCGCGATTGCTGCCAACCTCGCTTCCTCGCATTAGGAGGTGAGCTCGTCGCATGGACGAGATAGTCCCATTTTTGTCGCTCCGCTGGTGAGGGGTACTGGCGTCGAGCATTCCCAAGATGCGGTGAACGTCTCTTCGGCTACCTCCTCCGACTCGTCGTCTTCCTCTTCTTCCTCGTCCTCGTCTTCTTCTTCGGACTCATTTGCTGACGATGGCGCGCGTGAGTTCGAACGCCCTGATCATGAAATTCGACCTCGTCCATATGAAGTGTAGCAATTGTTCAAACTCTATTCCTGGAGCGTCCAGACCCTCTTCGTGGCTGTCGGTAGCGGGTCTTCTCGGCAGATCCTCCAATGGTCGCGTTTACACCTTATAGCTTGCAGTCCTACGAGTATTCTTCTTCGAGGGACGCATGGGCATGAAGGCGATCTTCACTCGCTTCGGTCCGATTTCTCTATGTTCGAATAAAATGGGAGCTTCTATCCATCGCGCAGTGGTGGTTCTGCTTCTATGTTCCGTACATCTTTTCTTGATGATTTTCTGCCATCAAATTCCGTTCTCTCTTATTTGGGCGTCAATCTGTCTTGATGCTGCGCGGCGACGAGGGCGCGATGTTCTTATGCAAATGCATGCTCCTCCTCAGTATTCGATGGAGATCGAGAAGCTAGCACTTCTGACGCTGGCTCGTCATATTCCGATGCACGAGAACGGTCTTGCGATGATGGCTGGGGACTACAACTGTCTATCGCCTGGCGGCGCTAGATCTTGCGCGCTCGACACCGACCGCGTTCGCGCATTTGATTCTCTTGGCATCTGCTCTGGCAAACTTCCTGGCCGGATGTTAGAATTCCAGCAAGACTATCCTACTCATCGTGCCACGCATCAAGGGCGGATCGTATCTTCAGCTAGCATCGATCAGATCTATGTGAATGCGCCCACGGGAACTGTATGCGACTGGCATCCGTGTGTGGGGGTCCAGTGGAAAGCGACATCTTTGCACGAGCCAAGCCCTTGGTCCTGATGGCATTCCGTCCTCGTGTTATCACTATGGAGGAGATAGTGCTAGTCAGATTCTCAATGATGTGTATCCATGTGCTCTGGAAGGGGTGGGGCTGCCAGAGGATTTCAATCGTTGCTACTTGGTATTCCTGCCTCGCACATATGGGATTGCCTGCGTGCATTATCCATGGTATCCGTGCGCTCTACTGGAGTATTCGCACCTCTGTTGTATATTCTGGGGATGTCTTCATGGGATTCGTCGTCCTCTTTGGGAGAAGGCAGGGCTGCTCAATGTCTGGGTCGATGTTCGCTTTTGCGCTGGGCCCCATGGTTCGTCGGATGAGTTTCTGTTTTTCTCGGCCGCTATTGTCACCACGTGCTTCGCATACGATTTGGCTCATGTATCGAGAGACATGTGTCGCGCACTCCGTGCGCTTTTTTGTTAATTCTTGTGGGTATGTCACTGCTTGGATCAATGCGCTCGAAACTCTGGTCATATTCTATTTTCCTCGCGATCGAGCTCAGATCTTGGAGCGTTTCAAATGCGCTGGCCTGAACGCCATCAATCTCAAGTCGATCGATATGGGCACGTGTCTCGCCGCGCGTGTTGGAGTGAGTGACTTCGCTGAATCGTGGGCGCTGTCGCCTGGGAAGTATTGCCGTCGATTATCTTTCTGGTGTGACCTGAATGTGTGCTTCGCTCAGATTTTGATCAGCTACAATGTTCTGGCGGTGGGTGTCCTCGCATTCATCGCGCGATTCTGCGCGCCTGTAGCGCTGTGCGGCGTTGTCAATGTGAAGGGCTCCAATCTGTGATTGGTTGGCCGCGTCGCTCTCTGCGTTCTGATTTCTTTATCGATTGAGAGAGATTGGGTTTCACGTGCGCGCCTTTGATGTCGCTCGATCTGTTGCGGCTGCTCTGCAGTGACTGGTACGGCGGCCAGGTATCTATCATCGGCGCGTTGATGAATTTCATGAAATGTTGGACGGCAATACCTGTTTGGTTGCTCGTGAGTACAATCCCAGGTTCACCAATCTCATGTTTTTTTTTTTTCCATTTGCATGATAGCTGGAGGTAGCTTAACTGTATCACTCGTATTCCAGGGGATCCTTGGTGTAAATATCTTTTAAGGCGTGTTCTCGCTCAGTTGTGTATTCCTGAATGCTCTGTGTCCTTGTATCTGCACCCGAGAATAGTGCATTGCATGAAGGACCGGCGCGTTGATCGCGTAGACTCGACGGCGATGTTCACTCGAATGCAGTGGATTGTTGCTCAGATGCCGTGCTTCGTGCTCGCCAGTCGCCAGTGTTCTCAACGCTGTATGTGCGATATCGTCAGCTGCTGGCAATATGCCGATATGGATGCAAGGCCGGCGCTTGTGATGCCATCCCTCGCTATGTTTCCTGCCCGCTCTTTGTCCATGTTTTGTCTCATATGCTGCCCTGTATTCCTGTCTCATATTTCCTCGGTGATCCTAGGAAACGGTTCCTGCCGCACCTCTTTGAATGGGGAACCCCTGAGGAGCTCAGTAGTATCGTCATTGATTCCGAGCTCGCACATTCAGTGTATCATAGGATGCGCGCGTCTGAATCTTACACCCCTGGCCTCTTCCTCCGCCATATGCATTCTCGTGCCCGTCAGCTGTTGGGCCGTCGACGGTGTTTCGTCTCTGTCCTCTCGCTTTTTCCGCGCGCCCCTGTTCACTGCCGCTGCCTAGCCGATCGCATCTTGTTGTAGTGGTCGATGTGCTCACTTTGCGCCTCCTGTTTCCAATATTCTTCCTGGTTGCGCCCGTCTGAGCCTTTCCCAGGAACGGAATTGGGGTTGCCTGTTTTCGGCCAGAGCTTGCCGCCCTGGGACGGACTTCTTGCCCTCGTCTGGCTTTCTGTCCGCTCGCCCTCTTTGCGGTTTGCCCTCTTCTCGCCTCTTGCCCGCTTGCTCTCGTCTCGTCCCTTGTCTTCAACGTGAGTTTTGATCATCATCATCACCATCTCCACCATAGCTGTTTCTGGCCCGAGCGTGGGGAGAGCGAACGAGACTCGGATCGTGCGTGGGCTGGTTGAGGAACAGGTGTCGTTCTTGCGAGCCTCTCACGGCAGGAGGAGATGATCGCCACCCAGAGTGGACGCGTGGATCGTGCTCCAGGTCTGGCACCGCGGCGTCGAACTGGGCGTCGCGCACCTCATGTCGTTGCTGCGGGGTGGCCAGGAGGAAGCGCAAGCCAGAGCTCACCTGCTACGTCTCAAGGAGGTCAGCGAGGAGGGCGCGCCGGCACAGCAGGCGGACGGATGAGGGGGCCCGCCCTGGCCGAAAACCTC